CTTACACTACATTTTAACCAATCAACACACTTTGCTGCTTCCTCCTTACGCTACATTTTAACCAATCAACACACTTTGCTGCTTCCTCCTTACGCTACATTTTAACCAATCAACACACTTTATGTTTACAATATTATGCTAGTTTGTGGTAAAGGTTCATTTTTTTTTACAGGTTCTCATCTTTATCTGAAGTCGCTTCTGGAGGTCAGCGCCTCCGCGGCTCGCTCCTAAACCAGACCTGGTTGCTGGCGTGATCCATCAAGGTGTTAGTGCCCGTGAAGAGGATTTACACTTGTCTCAAACTAATAGCTACTACCAATATCAACAAATATCGATGATGGGTATATACCGAAACGTTTCGCCTATATAGTAGGCTTCTTCAGTCGAACAAAGAGGTAACAGAAGCAACAGAGATGCAAAGATTATGTGATCAGTCCCTCAGCCTGGAAGACGTAGTGCTGAGGTGGTCAGTCCTCAGCCTGGAAGACGTAGTGTTGAGGTGGTCAGTCCTCAGCCTGGAAGACGTAGTGTTGAGGTGGTCAGTCCTCAGCCTGGAAGACGTAGTGCTGAGGTGGTGAGTCCTCAGCCTGGAAGACGTAGTGCTGAGGTGGTCAGTCCTCAGCCTGGAAGACGTAGTGCTGAGGTGGTCAGTCCTCAGCCTGGAAGACGTAGTGCTGAGGTGGTCAGTCCTCAGCCTGGAAGACGTAGTGTTGAGGTGGTCAGTCCTCAGCCTGGAAGACGTAGTGCTGAGGTGGTCAGTCCTCAGCCTGGAAGACGTAGTGCTGAGGTGGTGAGTCCTCAGCCTGGAAGACGTAGTGCTGAGGTGGTGAGTCCTCAGCCTGGAAGACGTAGTGCTGAGGTGGTCAGTCCTCAGCCTGGAAGACGTAGTGCTGAGGTGGTCAGTCCTCAGCCTGGAAGACATAGTGCTGAGGTGGTCAGTCCTCAGCCTGGAAGACGTAGTGCTGAGGTGGTCAGTCCTCAGCTGGAAGACGTAGTGCTGAGGTGGTCAGTCCTCAGCCTGGAAGACGTAGTGCTGAGGTGGTCAGTCCTCAGCCTGGAAGACGTAGTGCTGAGGTGGTCAGTCCTCAGCCTGGAAGACGTAGTGCTGAGGTGGTCAGTCCTCAGCCTGGAAGACGTAGTGCTGAGGTGGTCAGTCCTCAGCCTGGAAGACGTAGTGCTGAGGTGGTGAGTCCTCAGCCTGGAAGACGTAGTGCTGAGGTGGTGAGTCCTCAGCCTGGAAGACGTAGTATTGAGGTGGTCAGTCCTCAGCCTGGAAGACGTAGTGCTGAGGTGGTCAGTCCTCAGCCTGGAAGACGTAGTGCTGAGGTGGTCAGTCCTCAGCCTGGAGAGGAGTAGTGTTGAGGTGGTCAGTCCTCAGCCTGGAAGACGTAGTGCTGAGGTGGTCAGTCCTCAGCCTGGAAGACGAGGAGGTGGTAGTCCTCAGTCTGGAAAATTGTGTTGCGTACGGTGGTCATTCCTCTCACCATTACTATGGCTGACATACCACAAAGTCCCACATAACGACGTAGCTGAGGTCTCAACCTCACCTGGAAGAGTTCTTACATATGCTCTCGCACTAAAATCTGGCGACATTTCATTTAACACACACTTACTTCACCCCTCCATCTTCGCTCCACCAATCCCTTCACGCTCTCACACTACAAAACTCACCCACTTCCTACACTCTTACCTTCTGCCCCCTAAACCCTCCTTCTTTAACCACCCTCACTTCCCTTTCCCCATTCCTTTCCCTCACGTGCCCTTCCTCCAGGTGCCACCAGCTTACCCTCCCATTCCCCCACTACACCATTCCACATCTACCTTTCTGCCCCCCTACCTTCCCCGGTCTAGTTAGCCTGCTCACTCTCCTATGGATCAACTCTTTCTCGCTCCGTGCCCTTCCTACAGGCTCCACACAGCCCTACCCCCTCCATCCCCACCACTACCAACCATCACCAGCCTAACACTTCATCACCCCCCTCGTCTAAAGTCTAATAGGCTGCCCCAGTCTCCTATCTCAACTCAATATAAGTCGTGGCCTGAGTACTTTTACCATCAAACATATCCTCACCAATCCCTTTCCCTTATTACACAATAAAAACAGCGTTAACCATATACCTCAAAACTAATCCAGATCACAACTAACCTGTCATCTAAATCTAACTCAGTAATACCGAACTATCTGGTCAATCAGTATAAAATAGTCGTAGTTTTGACTCTTCAGTAATAATAATACCTTAATTATTTCTTTCATATTATGCAAGAGATAAAAAAGCAAGGGGTTAAAGCTTGATTCCTTCAAAAGTCTAATCAGACTGTCGACTAAGCTAGACCTGTTACATTCTAAATCTAATTCAGGTATGAACTATGTGTCAGTTCAGTATAAAAAATTAGTCGTAAGTATTTATCTTAATAATAATAATAATAATAATAATATTTCTTTCATGCAGTTTGCTAAGAGAGAGAAAATAAGTCAAGGTGTTAAAGGTGTCTGTGTTGACTGTAAAGGTCACGAGGACTGCTGACCTTAGATGACCTTACGGTATTCACTTGCTCAGGGCTGATAAACATTTTAGTTGTGTTTATTATTGTCCAGTGTGTGTTGTGTTGACCTCTCCCTCCCCCCCATCTCTCTCGGTCCAGGGATCTTGATCACTTCAAGATCCCAGTGACACAAGTTATGTCTGGAGGCGAGGCAGTGACACAAGTCATGTCAGGAGGCGAGGCAGTGACACAGTTCATGTCTGGAGGCGAGGCAGTGACACAGTTCATGTCTGGAGGCGAGGCAGTGACACAGTTCATGTCAGGAGGCGAGGCAGTGACACAGTTTATGTCTGGAGGCGAGGCAGTGACACAGTTCATGTCTGGAGGCGAGGCAGTGACACAGTTTATGTCTGGAGGCGAGGCAGTGACACAGTTCATGTCTGGGAGGGCGCGAGGAGCAGTGACACAGTTCATGTCTGGAGGCGAGGCAGTGACACAGTTCATGTCTGGAGCGAGGCAGGCAGTGTCTGGCATACACAGCATGTCAGGAGGCGAGGCAGTGACACAGGTCATGTCAGAAAAGCGAGGCAGACACAAATCATGTCAGGAGGCGAGGCAATAACACAGGTCATGAAAGGAGGCGAGGCAACAGTGTAGGTACCCTGATTATAATCAAATAAAGCGCTAAACCGCCAAGGGTCATGCAGGTAGGTATCCTGAAAGTTACCCAAGTAGGAACCATCCATACCACACAAACTAACTCATGCTTGGCTATACTAAACTATCCAGGTCCTTACTGAGGCAGGAGTAACCAGCAACAGCTGAGGCAGGAGTAACCAGCAACAGCTGAGGCAGGAGTGACCAGCAGCAGCTGAGGCAGAGGGAGCAGCAGCAGCTGAGGCAGGAGTGACCAGGAGTAGCAGCTGAGGCAGAGGAAGCAGCAGCAGCAGCAGCTGAGGCAGGAGTGACCAGCAGCAGCAGCTGAGGCAGAGGGAGCAGCAGCTGAGGCAGGAGTGACCAGTAGCAGCAGCTGAGGCAGAGGGAGCAGCAGCAGCTGAGGCAAGAGTGACCAGCAGCAGCAGCTGAGGCAGAGGGAGCAGCAGCAGCTGAGGCAGGAGTGACCAGCAGCAGCAGCTGAGGCAGAGGGAGCAGCAGCTGAGGCAGGAGTGACCAGCAGCAGCAGCTGAGGCAGAGGGAGCAGCAGCTGAGGCAGGAGTGACCAGCAGCAGCAGCTGAGGCAGAGGGAGCAGCAGCAGCAGCTGAGGCAGGAGTGACCAGCAGTAGCAGCTTAGGCAGAGGGAGCAGCAGCAGCAGCTGAGGCAGGAGTGACCAGCAGCAGCAGCTGAGGCAGAGGGAGCAGCAGCTGAGGCAGGAGTGACCAGCAGCAGCAGCTGAGGCAGAGGGAGCAGCAGCAGCAGCTGAGGCAGGAGTGACCAGCAGTAGCAGCTTAGGCAGAGGGAGCAGCAGCAGCAGCTGAGGCAGGAGTGACCAGCAGCAGCTGAAGCAGAGGGAGCAGCAGCTGAGGCAGGAGTGACCAGCAGCAGCAGCTGAGGCAGAGGGAGCAGCAGCAGTAGCTGAGGCAGGAGTGACCAGCAGCAGCAGCTGAAGCAGAGGGAGCAGCAGCAGCAGCAGCAGCAGCAGCTGAGGCAGGAGTGACCAGCAGCAGCGGCAGAGGGAGCAGCAGCTGAGGCAGGAGTGACCAGCAGCAGCAGCTGAGGCAGAGGGAGCAGCAGCTGAGGCAGGAGTGACCAGCAGCAGCTGAGGCAGAGGGAGCAGTAGCAGCTGAGGCAGGAATGACCAGCAGCAGCAGCTGAGGCAGAGGGAGCAGCAGCAGCTGAGGCAGGAGGGACCAGCAGCAGCAGCTGAGGCAGGAGTGACCAGCAGCTGAGGCAGGAGGGACCACCAGCAGCAGCAGCTGAGACAGGAGGGACCAGCAGCAGCTGAGACAGGAGGGACCAGCAGCAGCTGAGGCAGAGGGAGCAGCAGCTGAGGCAGGAGGGACCACCAGCAGCAGCAGCTGAGACAGGAGGGACCAGCAGCAGCTGAGACAGGAGGGACCAGCAGCAGCTGAGGCAGAGGGAGCAGCAGCTGAGGCAGGAGGGACCACCAGCAGCAGCAGCTGAGACAGGAGGGACCAGCAGCAGCTGAGGCAGAGGGAGCAGCAGCTGAGGCAGAGGGAGCAGTAGCAGCTGAGGCAGGAATGACCAGCAGCAGCAGCAGCTGAGGCAGAGGGAGCAGCAGCAGCTGAGGCAGGAGGGACCAGCAGCAGCAGCTGAGGCAGGAGTGACCAGCAGCTGAGGCAGGAGGGACCACCAGCAGCAGCAGCTGAGACAGGAGGGACCAGCAGCAGCTGAGGCAGAGGGAGCAGCAGCTGAGGTAGGAGGGACCATAGGAATGTTTGCGCGACTCCTCGACCTGGTTTCCCCCGCGGAGGCTCCGCCCCCCTGAGGAACCTTAAGCCCCGCCCCCTGACGCCTGATTGGTCAGGGGGAGGGTTGGGGGGCGCAGCGCCCATCAGGGCCTCGCAGGAGCCAGACGCCAGAGCGTCCCAAGCAGCCGTCGGGGACAGATCTCCTCTTGAATCCGCCGTTTTCAACCGTTCTCTTTACCTTTCTCGGTGTTTCACTTGTCTGTCTCTCTCTCCACCATGAAGACCTCTCTCGTCCTCGTCCTCGCACTCGCCCTCCTCTGTCTCGCCCACGCTAAGGTAAGGTGCCACTCATATATATATATATATATATATATATATATATATATATATATATATATATATATATATATATATATATATATATATAATATATATATATATATATATAAACATGCACAAGGGTCCTTTCCAGATTTATTTTCCAGTGATGCTGCTTACACCTGAGAGTAATAAGGTCCTGTGCTAGTCCTAGGGCCAGACTGCCCTGCTAGCCATTTGATAGTGAGGGTGTTGTTGGTGCTGGCACCAAGACAGCCATCACAACCTGGTTGATCCGGTAGAAGGCTGGATGGAGTGTGTTGGAGCAGCATCCTGTGATGGCACTGTGTTGGTTGTGTTTAGCTGGGGTAGTCCCGGGGCTCACTGCCCCCTCTCCCAGACCTGGCCTTTCTCTAGTTAGACTGATTAGTCAGGCTGTTGCTGCACCCAAGCCCACGTAAACAACACAACCTGGATGATCAGGAACCGACATGAAAAGCTTCTCACATTCCCTCCTGAAGACTGCACTTAGAGGGAGAGTGTTGAGTCTTGGTTCCTTTACACTTATTGAGTTATGTTGAACTAAGTACTCCTGCTTATCATAAGACGTAATTCCAGTGTGCAGATTTGGAACCAGTCCCTGCAGTATCTTCTCTGTGTAAACTATGATGTGTCTTTGTTGCCTACACTCCAGGGAGTACAATAGAGATTTTAAAACATTCTCAGTAATTTAGGAATTTGACTGGATTTATGAGGACGCTAAAATTTGTGTGTTCTTCAGATATATGTAAACTGTTATTAAAATTGAGGTATTGATGGGAAGGACCATTCAAGTCATGAGAGGAAAACTGAAGCATTATTATTGGCTCAGCATCGCTTGATCTGAAGGTTCTAGTTAACCACTCATCATTTTGCTTACACCTATGGTAGCAGCACTACAGTTATCCTTCAAGCTAACATCCTACTTCATGGTTACTCCCAGATCTCTTACACTACAGTTATCCTTCAAGATAACATCTTCCTTCATTGTTACTCCCAGATCTCTTACACTGCAGTTATCCTTCAAGATAACATCTTCCTTCATTGTTACTCCCAGATCTCTTACACTGCAGTTATCCTTCAAGAAAACATCTTCCTTCATTGTTACTCCCAGACTCTATCCTCTTCCTAAAACATCATGACCAGTTTTATTCCTTCAAGAAAACATCTTCCTTCATTGTTACTCCCAGATCTCTTACACTGCAGTTATCCTTCAAGAAAACATCTTCCTTCATTGTTACTCCCAGATCTCTTACACTGCAGTTATCCTTCAAGAAAACATCTTCCTTCATTGTTACTCCCAGATCTCTTACACTGCAGTTATCCTTCAAGAAAACATCTTCCTTCATTGTTACTCCCAGATCTCTTACACTACAGTTATCCTTCAAGATAACATATTCCTTCATTGTTACTCCCAGATCTTTTGCACTGCAGTTATCCTTCAAGCTAACATCCTCCTTCATGGTTACTCCCAGATCTCTTACACTACAGTTATCCTTCAAGCTAACATCCTCCTTCATGGTTACTCCCAGGTCTTTTACACTCATCTTCCACTCTACTGGACGATTTAATCATGGCTTCTACCCTCTCCCAGTTTTTATATCTTCTACTGAAGAAGAGCGGTTGTGCATCCTCGCTGAGCATCCGGTTGTCTGTCTCTCACTACAAGACGATATATATATTAGCTAGGATACTTGCTGTGTCTCCCGGCTGGCACTCATACACACACACACACTAGTGTCATTTATGTAATGTTACTCTCGTATACACGTGTATCTAATAAGCCTGCATGATCATTACAACAGTGATGGTTCTCAGTGGCCTTCACTACACTTCACTAGCACCAACAACACTCACTACACTGCGCTAGCACCAATAACACTCACTACACTTCACTAGCACCAATAACACTCACTACACTTCACTAGCACCAATAACACTCACTACACTTCACTAGCACCAATAACACTCACTACACTTCACTAGCACCAATAACACTCACTACACTGCACTAGCACCAATAACACTCACTACACTGCACTAGCACCAATAACACTCACTACACTTCACTAACACCAACAACACTCACTACACTGCACTAGCACCAATAACACTCACTACACTGCACTAACACCAATAACACTCACTACACTGCACTAGCACCAATAACACTCACTACACTGCACTAACACCAACAACACTCACTACACTGCACTAACACCAATACAACACTCACTGACTACACAATAACACCTACACTCATAGCAATAATAACACCACACTGCACTAGCACTAATAACACTACACTGCACTTGCACCGATAACACTACACTCCACTAGCACTATAACCTACACGCACTTGCACATAACACCACACTGCACTAGCACTAATAACACTCACTACACTGCACTAACACCAATAACACTACACTGCACTAACACCAATAACACTACACTGCACTAACACCAATAACACTACACTGCACTAGCACCAATAACACCACACTGCACTAGCACTAATAACACTACACTGCACTTGCACCAATAACACCACACTGCACTAGCACTAATAACACTACACTGCACTTGCACCAATAACACCACACTGCACTAGCACTAATAACACTCCACTCCACTTGCACCAATAACACTACACTGCACTAGCACTAATAACACTACACTGCCACTATGCACCTAATAACACTACACTCACTAGCACTAATAAACTACACTCCACTTGCACCAATAACACACTGCACTGCTAACTAGCACTAATAACACTACACTCCACTTGCACCAATACACACACACACTGCACTACACTAATAACACCACACTGCACTAGCACAATAACACTACACTCACTGCACAATAACACCACACTGCACTAGCACTATAACACTACACTCACTTGCACCAATAACAACCACACTGCACTAGCACTAATAACACTACACTCCACTTGCACCAATAACACCACACTGCACTAGCACAATAACACTACACTGCACTGCACAATAACACTACACTCACTTGCACCAATAACACTACACTGCACTAGCCACTAATAACACTACACTCACTGCCAATAACACCAATAACAATACAACGCACTAGCACATAACACTACACTGCACTACACAATAACACTACACTGCACTGCACCAATAACACCACACTGCACTAGCACAATAACACTACACTGCACTTGCACCAATAACACCACACTCAAACCACACTGCACTTTGCACTAATAACACTACACTCGCACTAGCACTCAATAACACTACACTGCACTAGCACAATAACACTACACTGCACTGCACCAATAACACACTGCACTCAAATAACACTACACTCCACTAGCACCAATAACACTACACTGCACTTGCACCAATAACACTACACTGCACTAGCACTAAAACACTACACTGCACTGCACCAATAACACTACACTGCACTAGCCACCTAATAACACTACACTGCACTTGCACCAATAACACTACACTGCACTAGCACTAATAACACTACACTGCACTAGCACCAATAACACTCACTGCACTATACACCAATAAACACTACACTGCACTTAGCACAATAACACACACTCACTTGCACCAATAACACTACACTGCACTTGCACCAATAACACCACACTGCACTAGCACCAATAACACTACTCTGCACTAGCACCAATAACACTACACTGCACTAGCACTAATAACACTACACTGCACTTGCACCATATAACACCACACTGCACTAGACACAATAACACATACACTCATGCACTAGCACCAATAAACACTACACTGCACTAGCACCAATAACACTACACTGCACTATGCACTAATAAACAACCTACACTGCACTTACACTAATATACAATACACACCTGCACTAGCACCAATAACACTACACTGCACTAGCACTAATAACACTACACTGCACTAGCACAATAACACTACACTGCACTAGCACCAATAACACTACACTGCACTAGCACTAATAACACTACACTGCACTAGCACATAACATAACACTACCACCTCCACTAGCACAATAACACTACACTGCACTAGCACCAATAACACTACACTGCACTGCACAATAACACTACACTGCACTAGCACAACACTACACTACTAGCACATACACACACTGCACTTAGCACCAATAACACTACACTCCACTGCACCAATAACACTACACTGCACTAGCACCAATAACACACACACTGCACTAGCACAATAACACACACTGCACTAGCACCAATAACACCACCCCCACTACACTGCACTAGCACAAACACTAACTTACACAATACACTAACTCACTAGCACAATAACACTACACTGCACTAGCACCAATAACACTACACTCCACTTGCACCAATAACACTACACTGCACTTAGCACAATAACACACACTGCACTAGCACTAATAACACTACACTCACTCTAGCACAATAACACTACACTCCACTTGCACCAATAACACCACTACACTGCACTAGCACTAAATAACACTACACTGCACTTGCACTAATACACTACACTCACTGCACCAATAACACTACACTGCACTAGCACCTAATAACACTACACTGCACTAGCACTAATAACACTACACTGCACTAGCACTAATAACACTACACTCCACTTGCACCAATAACACTACACTGCACTGCACCAATAACACTACACTCCACTAGCACAATAACACTACACTCCACTAGCACTAATAACACTACACTGCACATAGCACTAATAACACTACACTCCACTTGCACAATAACACTACACTCACTAGCACCAATAACACTACACTCCACTAGCACCAATAACACTCACTACACTCCACTAGCACTATATAACACTCACTACACTCCACTAGCACTTATAACACTCACTACACTCCACTAGCTCTTATAACACTCACTACACTCCACTAGCACTTATAACACTCACTACACTCCA